TTAACAACTATCGCCCTATTTCTCTGCGATTTTTGTTGCCGCAACTCGACGTTCGTAGGAGAGAGCTTGACGAGGAAAGGAGAGGGGCACCGAGTTGCTCGTGTTCGGGCAACACGCTTTGTGCTCTCGTTCGTCTGTGTAAATTGAAAAGCTGTTCACAGCTGACAACAACAATTGCATACACACAAATTGCCGTGTGTAAATGAAACGAGCAACACCAAAAGGGAATGTGAAAAATCGCGTCGACAAAAGTTTCCGTGTATAAACACAGTATTATGAGTTTTCGTCATATCAGCCTTATCATAAGTTTTATTTTCCCCGAACCGGTTCATTTTTCACTTTTGGTTTCCATGGTTTTACTATGGGCGGATGACAAATTTTCGGGTGAATTTTTTCTCAGGTAAAACTCAGGATAAGGCAGAATAGGGGTATTCTCCAAATCTTGCAAAGCCATTGCACGTAGCACGGATTGCATGGATTGCATAACTTGCAAACACACAACAACAAAATACATGGGAAACGTTATTTCCTATCGCTGCAAAATATGCAACGTCGAAACCCATGTATATATTTTGCAAAATTGCATAGCAAGATATATGCGACCCTGTGCTAGTTGTTTTGTTGTTGGAATTGCTACATATTTCTCTCATTCCTCTCATCTCGCTCACTTCATTTTTTTCTGCTGTCTCTTGTTATTGTATTTTATACATAATTTCGCTGCTTGCTACCCATGCATTCTACCACTTTGCAATGGGGTGCTCTCGTACTCTTCGAAATTTGGGATAGTATTTTTGCATTTCGTGCAATACGTGCATCGTGCACTACTTCGAGAATACCCCTAATATGTTAGTGGATGCTTCTGTCTCTGATGGAGTGGTGGGTTGTGCGGTGCATGACATTGAGCAGAGGCACCAACCTTTGGGGAACTTGTTGCAATAAAGCAATGTATTGTTATCGCTAGGGAAGTATAAAATATAAAAATTTGCATATTCACAGATAGTTTGCATGCGGTGAAAGCGCTAATGTGTTAACAAACGAACAATTACATTGGTTGCGTTCCAGATGCTTCACGATTTGCAGGTTTTTACAGGAAGTCGTTCCAGGTGACCACCTCCCATAAGGTTTATTAATGGAGAAAACAGCTGTTCCTGCTAATCGTGAATTTCGTTAATACCGTGAAGCATCTGGAACGCAACTATTGTGGCTGACATACAGAATAAAGGCCAATATTATGAGTTGCATTCGATCTTCGACTGTGGTCGAAAGTGCTGATCGAACGAATTTTCATTTGGTATTATGACGCTGATTCGATGAAGAATAGCGCTATTGTGATTTCGCTTGTTTAGGTTGTTCACAATAGTATATTTTTCACCGCTGAGAAGCTTTGTTTACAAATCGAGCAAACTAAATAGTATGCTTCTACATATTTATGTAAATTTGTGCAAATTAAAACGAAATAAAAAAGAAAGCGAGTTTATAAAAACGTAGTAAAAATTAGTACAACGGAGTTCTGGTTCAACGATTCGTTAAAGGATGAGAGTTTAGTAAACTGGCCAGTAGCTCGTTTCTGTAACAATTCTCTACCTAGGCGAATTGAGATATGAATTCGACACCCTGTTCTCTACTGCTTATGAGTAGTAGAGAATAACGTAGGTATTTTCCCCACCAGTACAGAAATAATCGGTAGAGAAGAGATACAGAAACGAGCTACAAGAGTAGTAAATGTTTAATAGAGTTTAAGTTTAGTCTTTCCAATATATTTTGACATAAAATATATTTAAGAAATTTGTCTACAGATTTATTAAAAACTTCCGACTGTCTAAAGAAGCGTTTGTGAGCCAAAACTATTTAAAATGTTTTAGAACTATCAACAGCTCTACGATTTTGTTCTCAGAGATCGTGCCAACTGAGTATTGGGATTTTCTTTCACAAGTAAAGTTAGCCTTTCGAGCTTGTGTTTAGTATTCACGACGTTAAACTGCATGAATTTGATAAAAAAAAAACTGTTTAAAATTAGTGTCTAGCCGCCAAAAAGTAAGAACACAAATGCAAAATATATTTTTCACCATTTTCTAACACTTCGCTACACCATGGGAAGCGAAATTCTGTTCGACACGGTTGCGTAGCTCATAATACGAATTTCACTTTCGATCTTCGATAACCAGCCGCCATTCTTAGGTTTATTTTCTTTTTCGATGGTCGTATTATTGCCTTTTTATAATCAGGCAATATTAAATAAAAAAATTTCGCCATCGAATAAACAGTGAGTTAGGTATTTGCATATTATTTTTATTTGCAAATAGCTTACGCATAAACGTGGTAATAGCGGGCAGAACTTATGGCAAAGAGTACCTCAGTGAATTTAAGCCGGATGTTTCCAATTTGTGCCACAGTTGTAATACCTTGGAGTCCGCTGAGCATTTGATTTTTAGTGCATGCGGTTCAGTACAATAAGGAACGAATTTTCCTTTTTTAATAAGTTTAAAGAGCTTAAAGAAATTTTTATTACAAAAACATTATCACACTAAAAGGAGGTCAAGGTTCATAGAATACAAGGTTACGACATCAGCCATGGCCGCCATCTTGATGACGTAGTTGGCTCAATTTTTGGAGTTGCCAGATTCCAAAAAAATATCTTATAAAAATACACTATTGTTACGATTATCCTCGAAACCTTGAGGGATTTCCCAAATATACTCGGGCTCGTATCGCTGGATTGTTAAATAAATGCTAACGATGACCAAATTGTAGTACAATTAACTTTATTGTACAACAAACAATTTACAATACTTGCTAATACAGTAAAAACACTTTACAATACTTGTTAAAGCAATAACAACGCTTTACTCCTTGTTAACAAAATTAAACTTATAGCTTGCTTATTCGCAACTCAATTCTCTGCTCAGTTTACTTGTAGCTTGCTGACTTGTAACTGTCTCAACTCCGCTGTGTCGTGGCTCTTATATACCTGCGCTCACACTTATGGCAACTCTAGAACGTTCTGAAGTTTATCGCTCATTCTCTTTCTCTCGCTGTTCGCAGTGTTCATCCAACTTGACGTTTCTCTTTGTGGAACATTCTACGTCATTCCTCGAACATTCTGCCTATTTCTCGTTGTTCGCTTTGTGTTGCCGCAGTATTCGCCACACTGCCCTCCACCT